TGCTGTTCATAGAAGCCCTCAGATCAACATCACATAAATGAGCTTGGGCTTGCCTATTGGATAATGAGAGACACATGACCCAGTTACCTCCATTGCCCTGCCAACAGCTGGCAACCACCAGATGTACACATGAGGCCACCAACTATCAGTGGCCTGTAAATGCATTGACATTATGTGCCAGAAGACATCATGTGTAGCAAAGCAAAGCTGTCCTAGTGGAGCCCAGCCTAAATTGCTCATCCACAGAATCATGAATAAATAAATGGTTGTTTTAAGCCACTTATTTTAGAGTGGTTTGTTCTACAGAAAATGCTAACTGATACAGACACAAAAATGCTATAGAACATAACTGGAAGGAGCCATTTCTAGTCCTCTTGACAACAGCTCCAACTGCCCCACAGTTCCATGTGTCATAATGAAAATAACTTCCAAGTCAGACCAATGGAATTCCACTTCCATGAGTGACTTCAAGATGGGGCTAACCAAAAAGCCTCCAGAAGATGATGGCTTCAAGGCACAAACAGTTTACCTGAGACCTTCAGATCAAGAAGGCAACTTCCTAAGTGCAAATTCCACCCAAAACAATGAAACAAAAATAGAACATTTTGTTATGCCCAATCAGACTGACTTTCTTCTGTTATTATAATATATAACTACAGGCTATTGCTTTCCTTCTCTATGACCTCTTTTTTTCATTTTCCTTTCCCTTTTTTTGAAACCAAATATATTTCCTTTACTTTGGTTTTTTTTTTTTTGAGGCAAAGTCTCACTCTGTTGCCCAGGCTAGAGTGCTGTGACGTCAGCCTAGCTCACAGCAACCTCAAACTCCTGGGCTCAAGCAAGTATTTTCATAACTCATCTAACTATTGGGGAATATGACCAAAGGAAATAAAATTACTTATCAACCTTACCAGGCACTCCCATACAACTATCCTGTTGGCAGAAATACCTCTCATATTACAACTTACATATTTATGTATAATGTAACACCTTGTGAAAATATTTAATAGAAAAATGTCCATGTTTAGGAAAAGCAGCATACAAAAAATATCAACTGAAATAGTTATCACTGTTATATTATAATTTAGGGGAAAAGACATACACTTTCAACTCTTTACAAATGTTATCATATAAATTGAGAAGCACCAGGCCTGTTATCTGTGACCTCTATGTATACTGAGAACTATTTCTGGGACTTCTTACCAGCTCCTTTGAAGATTTTCAGTCCTGTTCAGTCTCACCATCTGGGTCTCTTTAGAGGTCTCGTAGGAGCGACCTCCCAGGAGAAGTTAGAAGACTCTACTATTGATTTGCTTGAGGGTTTTTAACCTTGGTTAGAGGGTCCCTGAATTTAAGAGATGTATCAGTAACTTATCCTTCACTATGCCTGAAATTATAAATGTGACCATGTACACTATAAACACGCAGAAAAAGAGCTTTGATTCACTTGCTGCCTTGGTAATTAATGGATCATCGCACAGCTTTACAATATTTACTGGCTTCGCAAGGGGACATCTGTATTCTGGCTAATATTTCCTATTGTTTCTAGATAAACACTTCAGGACAAGAAGAAAAAAATGTCTTAAAAAAATGCAGACAAAGGCCGATCACTCTCAAAGATTTGACAGTCTGAAACTTGGAATCCACTCGCCTATTCTCCCAGCTGGGTCAAATAAAAAAATTGGCTTCATGAAATTTTCTGATCTATAATGATGGGATTTCTCACTCTAACAATTCTGTTTGCTTTTCTTAATGCATTTTTAATAGACTCTTTAAAACTATGTGCAACTGATGTTTGATGGTCAAATGATGATTTTACACTATGAAGAGGCAGAATTTCTTATGACTAATCCTTGTCCTGCAGGAGAGGCAGGTGACCAAAAATGGGGATGACAGATCGTGACATGGCTGCCCAGCCTGCTTGAGGACCCACACCACATCGTATGCCCCATGTCCTTCACACTTAATTTTTGTTAAACAGTTACACATATGCATGGATGGTAGGAAAGAACACTTCAGTGAGTTTCTTCTTGGTAATATCACAGAAACAGTAAGAATTTTATTCTCTGTTACTATTCAAATTACTCATCTATAAGTCCTAGCATCAGGGAATTTTTAAAAGATAAAAATGTTTGAACTCTAGAATAATTCTGGGTTTGGGGGTGGTAATTCACTGTGAACTAAAAAATGCTATTTTAAAAAAATTGTTTTGAGTTTTTAATAGAAAAAGAAACCTAAAGATATATGTTTAGCATGGAAAAATAAAAATTAATGTAAGTGATAAGAAATATACTGAAACAAAAAAAAGAAATATACTGAAATAATCTTCTGAAAACAAAATATTTATTCAAGATTCTACTGAAGTATACAAAGAGCAAATTTATTTTAGGATTTAAACCAAAGGAATCTTTTAAATACATGTTACCCTGGTGTTAAGGCATGTTAGCCTGGCAATATTAACAGCCTTGATGTTGACAGAGTCTACCTCTTAATAGCATGTCTCATAAATCGTTTATTCCAGAAGTTGGAAATTGTAAAATTAAATATAAATTTTTTAAAGCTTATAAAATCAAAAGTGTCATTTAATTCATTTTTACATACATAATCTTATTCCAAAAGGATTTGAGGTGGTTGGCAGATGATTGTATATAGGGGTAACCATGAACAGAAATAACCCTATAAATCAAAATACTAACGAAAAAAGACACTAATTTTTTTAAGAAAAGCTCAAGTGCACAAGGAGTGGAATAAATCAAAGTTTACATCTCTCTATCCTAAAATTAGCCAAGGCAGGCTTTCTATGGTTAGAGAAAAAAAACTACCAACACCTTTAAATAAAAAATGCTTTTGATAAAATAAGATTTTGCTGAAATCCTTCTCACATAGAAAACTCTTTGAAAACCAGAAGCCAAGGGGGGATAATGTTTAAAATGAAGCAGCACTTAGAAATGTTTCCCTAGCTTTCACCTTATCCAGAGATTTGTAGGTGAACATCAAAATCAAATTAAGAGCCACAGAGCAGCATTTTTCTTCCACTTGTCTAAAGGAAATTGTCCAAAGGGTCATAGCAAAGAAAATAGGTTCTAAAATGAAACCTCAAACATTTCAGTAACCAATACCCAAGCGAAGCTTAAGGAGCCATGACATAAGAGGAAACCATGTGGAAGGCTGACACACTTCTGAGTTTCCATAGGTTCTTGCAGCTTCTATCTTCAGAGAGAAAAAATCCCCAGGCAATGGACCCTGCTAGAAGTTTAAGGAATTTTAAATTGTTATTCAGTAATTCTCAACCCTAGTGTACATTAAAATTGCCTGAGAGGTCTTTTTTCTTTTTTAATACCAATGCCTGGACCCTACCCAAGATCAATTAAAGCAGAACCCCTGGTATGGGGCCCAGGCACTAGTATTTTTTAAAGCTCCCAGAGGTTCTAATGTGTGGCCAGAGTAGAGACCAAAAAGTTAAGGATGACTGTAATTACCGTGCGTTTGAACTATAGCTGTGACAGAAAATAATTTTTTAGGGAGATAAATTTTTTGCTAAAGCTAGGCTGCCATTCTTCTCCTGTACTTATGCTCTGTGTACAATGCTGAAGTCCCTCGAGATAATAAGGACACCACTATTTACCGAGAACTTACCTGGTACCAAACATTGTGCTGGGCAACCCCCCCCCACCCCACCCCCCACACACAATCACTAATACCCATTATTCAGCAAAACAAGTATTAATATTAAACCCATTAACCCAAGACAGCTGACAAGAGGGGCTAATTTGCCCCATCACAGAGCAAGCAGGTGCTGAAACTAGAATTAGAACCTACGTATGTCTAGTTACAAAGCAATGCTTTTTATTTTCTTTTATGCATTTATGTTTTGAAAGGTAATAGTTACATGCCTCACAGGTTTATAAAGTATGAAGGTTCATAAGGGATACAAAAGGCATATAAAAATTAATCTCAGTCATCATTTTTTCCTATCACAGCTGAAGTTCAAATATATAGTACTACAGTCATCCTTGATTACTATCACTTACCCATCAATTCCCCTCTCTGGAAACATAGTTAGCGGTTTCTTATTTATCCTTGTTTATTTAATGCATATAAAACAAATACATGTCATGGTATGTGTGCACACCATATATGTGGGTTCCTCTCCACCCCACGTTCACGTTAAACAATGGTAGCATAGTTCACACACTATTTTGCACATGGCTTTTTTCCCTTTAACAGTGTATCTCAGGGATAATTCCCTATCAATATATAAGCTTTTAAAATTTTTTTCTCTTTTATGACATAATCTCCTATTCTAATACACTTTTAAGATTCTTTGTTGTACCACATAGTATTCCATTGTACAAATTTACCAGTCCCTTATTGACAGGTATTAAATTGCTTTTAATTATTTGCTGTTATAAAAAATGTTGGAATGAAAAAGCTTAAGCTACATAATTTCATAAGTGTGTACAGATAATTATACCTTAAAATAAATTCTTTTTTTTTTTTTTTTGAAGACATGGTCTCATTCTGTTTCCTGGGCTACAGTGCAGTGATGTCATCATCGCTAAGTGCAATCTCAAACTCTTGGGCTCAAGTGACCCTCCTGCCTCAACCTCCTGAGTAGCTGAGACTACAGGCATGTGTGTACCACCATGCTCTGTTAATTTTTCTATTTTTTGTAGAGATAGGGTCTTGCTCTCACTCAGGCTGGTCTGGAACTCCTGACCTAAAGCAATCCTCCCACGTTGGCCTCCAAAAGTGCTAGGATTACAGGCATGAGCCACCACGCCCGGCATAGAATAAATTCTTAGCTACCAAAAGCCATTCTCTTTCCATTATTCCATGCTACCTCAGGCTTCTAAGAAACAACTCACAACTGGACTCATGATGATTTATATTTATTTTATTTAAAAACTTTACCTAAATACCCCAATTATGCTTTTCATTTTAATAAAAAAATTAGAAATAGCTTTTCTGATGTGCTCAAAGACAAAAATAGTCTGAGAGACGGTTTTAAGCCAAAGCATTAATAATACGACTTCAAAATCAGTGGCATAAACATCATGCTGGTTCTCACTTCCTGCTCAGAAGGTATCTGTTCCCGAGGACTCCATGTCCCCCTGTATGGTGCTGATGCTCTGAGACTGAGACAAATCCTCCAGGTTCACTGAGGGCAGCGTCACGGACATCTTGGCAGGTGCCGTCTGCGAAGTTAAGAGCGGTACTGCTTTACCACCTGCACAAAGGAGAAACTCATTTAGCTAAACAAGCACATCGTGAGTATTTATGTGCTTTACATTTTCTTAAATAATATGGGGGGATCATATGAGGGAAGTTCTTTTTTCAATGTGCTCAGAACTTGTCAGAGAGACAAAATACATCCTTCTTCCTTTCCTTTCCTTTCCTTCCTGCACTCTTCATCAGTTAGAGACAACATTTAAAAAGCATTAAAAGTTGTGGTACAGATGATAAATGTATATCGAGTAGGGTTAAGAATCTAGTCTCTGAAATCCACACTTAGCCTCTTACTGGCTGTGTGATTCTGGGCAAGTTATTTTACCACTTAAAAGTTCATTTACCAATATTTTAAGTGAGAGAATAGTATCTACCTTCCACAGTACAGTAAGGATAAAAGAATGTCAGTAAAGAGCTCAACAACTGAGCTTACCACTTAGAAAGTGCTCAAGAACTAAGAGTGCCCATTACCACTAAAAGATCACTACTATTCCTATTACCATTAAGTAGATAGCTAGAAATCCAATAAAATACTGTAACAGCCCTAAAATAAGGGTTTGCAGTTAGTTGTAGAAAGAAGGTGATTTTTTTTTTAAAGGAGGTAAGATACAAGCTGTGTAAAAAGCATGTGAAGTCAAAGATTGCCAAGGCACTTTGCTCTCCCTCCTACTGCTAAAAATGAACCCTCAATTCAGGATCATGTCATTAATATTCATTTACTGAATGCCTAAGGGTGCTATGCTATTAGTTAACAGAAGTGATATAAGGGAAGCAATGTCAGAAGAAAAACATACTGAGTGGTCATTCAAGTATTATTGACATTTAACTTCGGAAAACATTTTTCTCTGTAAAATAGACTTTTCTTCATTATATTTAATCAACTATGGAAAAAATTTCCACTCTATGGATTGAGAGCAATATTATATTTATCTAATATAGAAGCTGGCTAGTGGCAGAAGGGAGGCAGTTTGGGATACAGACTTTGTTAATATGTTTAAAAATCCAGAGTTGACTACATATGTGTATCTATCTGTCTATACCATAATTCACTGCTCTAAGTTTAAAGCATATTGCTTAAGAATATAAAGAATGTCAATTTGTTCTTATTTAAAACCACAAAAAAAAACACTTCATTTTAAATTCCATGGATTTACCATAGATATAATAATAAACACCTTAAAAAATTATCTTGAACAATCTTAAAGGTATCTTTCAGTCAAGAGTCAAAGTAATTTTTCTAAAACCTCTTTATGTTTTTCAAGTCGTTTCCACAGTAATAAAACAAAATTTTCCATTACATTTTTATAGAGGCCACCATAAAAGTATACAGTTCTGGATATTTCAATGATGACTCAATCACAGCTGTCCAAGATGATCAGAATCCTTGTAAAAGGCAAATTCCTCTCATATTAGGAAGTCTAACAAACACTATTTTAAATACTACATAGTTCCTTTTTGTTAATTTTATCAATTTCATTTTTTTAATAAAAAGGGGGAAGAGAGATTATATCTGGCATCATTATCGTTATACCAACATCACAAACTATAATATCATAGTATTTAAAAAGAAAGCAAGTCTTATGTTAATTTAAATAGAATACATAGTTTATTAGGTTATTAAGTATGAAATGTCTGATTTCCTTAAGTATTAAGTTAGACAGTTGATATCTCTGACATTTCACTTTAATACTTCTTAGTTTATTTTTATTGGGAAGGTACATCCTTAGTCTTTCAAACGTACATTTTGGCTTATGATTATCTTTCGGTTTTTTTAAGAGCAATTTTTGTGAAACCAGGGATAAGTAAAAAATTCGTGTTATTTTTTAACACGAGTTCCATCCAAGTCAACACAGACAGCTTGAAATATCAGTGAAGTGTTTGGGAAGGATGTGGCTAATGAACACACATATGCTGATGGTTTGAGAAGTTCATTCTGATGATTTTAACCTTGAAAATGAGGCACGTGGGTGACCTGAGACCAAGGTGGATAATGATGAGCTCAAAGCTGTAGGGGAAGCGAATTCAACTCAACCTATGCGTGAATTAGCAGCAAGGCTTGATGTTACTATTCCAACAATATTGGACCATTGAAACAAACAGGCAAGGTAAAGAAGCTGTATAGATGGGTTCTGCATCAATTAAATGAACATCAGAAGCGAAATCATCTCAAAGCTTGCCTTTTTTTGTTGTCACAACATGAAGGCGAATCATTTCTACACCATATCTTTATGTGTGATGAAAAATGGATTCTTCTTGATAATCACAAACATTCAGCACAATGGCTGGATAAAGATGAAGATCTAAAACACAGTCCAAAACTGAATATTCATCAAAAAAAAAGCTAAAGGTATTTGTTTGGTGGTCCAGTGCTGGTATTATCCACTACAGCTTCATGAAACTTGGACAATTACAGCGAATGTCTACTGCAACCAATTGGATGAAATGATGAGGATATTTGTTATTAAGCAGCTGAGGTTGGTCACTAGAGACAGGCCAATCCTCTTGCAAGACAACGCTCCACCACAAGTCGCACAAACAACACTGCTCACACCACAGCAGCTGGACTTGGAAACTCTCTGTCATCTACCATATTCACCAGACCTTGCACCGACTACCACTTAATATTCAATTCTCAAAAAGCTGGGGAAAACGCCTTCTGCGATTTCATTTCCACTCACTCTCCAGGCTTCTTCGCTGCTGGCATAAGCAAGCTACCATTCAGATGGGAAAACTGTTTTAATAGTTTAGGTACATACTTTGATTAATTGTACTACTTCTATTTGAGATATAATAAACTAAACTTTTGATTTAAAATTGGACATTTTATATTTATGACCTTAATAGGAAGACTTTTTGAAATTTAGCTCTGTCAGGATATAATAAAAAGTAAAATTAATAAATGCTAAGAACTACATTTAAAAAATAGTTTATAGGACATAAGCATTATATAAATATTCTTACATTTTACAAAGCCATGATGCAGAGTCCACAAAATAACTAAGGGAAGCATCCAACATCAGAGCTTACCTTGTCAATAAAGTAAAAAAATCTAACACAGGATATAACTAAGGTATACAGCAAATTAATTTTCCATCCATATAATCAATTTAATGTTATCTTTCCCTAATTATTCTTAATAACTCCATACCTTGAGTTACATATCTGCCAGAGAAACTACACTTATACCAAATACTCTTCTTTTCTCTCATCACAAAACTGCTTTATATGTATCTTCATTTTCTATTATGTGTATAAAATTACTGCTTGAATTGCTCAATGATGTAATAAGAGCTATAACTATTTTTCTTTTTTTTTTGGATTTCCAAGAAGTTTCCAAATCTTAAGGAACAATGTTAAATTCAATCATTGAAAAGTTATAATACTTCTTGTAGTTACTGCCTTATATTTACATAGAAATTCAAAATTTTGTAAATATCTTTTCCCCAGCATGTTATCTGATCCTAACAGTAATTCGGGGAGACAGACAAGGTAATTGAGTCACAGAGATGTTAAAGTGGGCTTTTCCAAAAGCATGTGCTCACTAACAACTATTTGAACCTACTGTAAGTAGGGAGCTAAGATGGTACCAAGAGGATACAAAGATAAAAAGATATAGTCCTCATCTTCAAGAAGCTCATAATCTAGTCATGGAGATAAACATGTGTAGGAATACTTAGTTTAAATTAGGTGGAAGCAGCAGTTGAGTTGAGACTTAAAAGATGGTGGGAAGGCAATGAAGAAAAAGAGAACAACAAAAAGTCAAGATAAGGTTAGTGTGTTAAGGGAACTCTGAGTATTCTCTCCTCTCTCTTTTTTTTTTTTTGGACAAAAAGTATGATTTAATTTTTTTCTTCTTCTTTTTTTCTTCTCTGAGTATTCTGACATCAAAGTATTGACTGGATAGTAGGAATGATGAGCAATGAGGTTGTAAAGGAAGTTCTGTAAACAATGAGGAGTCAAACAATTTTGAACAGAGGAGTAATATGAGCAAATGTATTTTAGAAAAGATCATACTAATAGTTGTGTGGAAAATAAGGAGAGAGGAGAGAGATCTATAGAAATAGTCCATGAAAGAACTTATGATCCTTAGCAATGGACTAAAATCAAGATATTTTAGAGGGAGACTCTGTACTTAAAGAGAATTGAATTTGACTCTGAAATGAGATTTAGTTGACTGAGTAGGCAGTAATAAGAACACAAAGAAACTTGAGGGCTATGGAATTGTAGAGAAATGGGGAGCTACTGGGACCTGTTATATATTGGATGAATTGAATGCCTGCAAGATGTGTGAATGGAATTCAGGAGGGAATTGGGGACAAAGATTTCAAATATTGTAAGGCAGTTTTAGAGATACAGAATTAAGACATCTATACGAATATAATAATTAATGAGACTTATAGGCACGGAGAGAAAATAGACTGAAAACAGAAATTATGACGAAATGTGGGACAGGGCAAAGAAAGGTAAATAAAGAGAAAATAAAGGAAAACAAAGGGAAGTATCAGAGAGATAAGTAGGAAGAGACCTAGAAGAGTAAAGAGTCACATAAAGTAAGAGATGGCTTACTAAGAGATCTAATTAGTTCATAATTGGTAGAGCTAAGACTACAACTCACTGCTCTTTGTACTATATCAAATACGTTAATTAACCACAATAAAAAAGTATTGCTTTTAAAAGTAGCTGAGGATTCAGAAGCTGTTTTATGAAAAAAATATAATAAAAAAATAAAAATAAATATGAAAAATAAAAAAAGAAAAAAGAATTTTTAAATAATAAAATAAAAATTAAGAAAAAAAGTAGCTAAGGGAAATTCCATTTAAGTACTGCTCTGTAATGGTAGGGAAGGTAAGGAGAGGAGCACGGATGAGGTTTCAAGCACAAGTCTCTTTATGATAGGTCAAGACTAGGGTCCAAATGAGATTACTTAGAAATGGTTCCACCTAGACTGTTGGTGTGAGGCTTCTCTGGGAAGGAGTAAAGGACAGGGAGGATAAGAGCATGAATTCTGGAATAGGGCAGAGCTGGGATCATCCATTCATGCAACAAATATCAATTGAGCACCTACTATGTGTCAGGCACTGCTGGAGAATATAAGCAGGGGTCCTCAAACTTTTTAAACAGGGGGCCAGTTCACTGTCCCTCAGACCGTTGGAGGGCCAAACTATAGTTTAAAAAAAAACTATGAACAAATTCCTATGCACACTGCACATATCTTATTTTGGAGTAAAAAAACAAACAGGCAAAAACACCCGCATGTGGCCCGTGGGCCGTAGTTTGAGGACGCCTGATATAAAGGCTCCTATTTCATTGACCTTACATTCTAGTCACTTGTAGGAATGAATGGCAAATAAGTATGGAAATAAAAATATAATATGTTAAGAAGTGATAAGTGGTGTAAAGAAAACAGGTAAGGGGTAAGAGGGATAGAGAATGATAAGAGACTTTGGGAAAGTTATGTAACTTCTCTAAATCCCAGTTTTCTCATCTATAAAATAAAGAGTACCCACCTCAGAGGGTTTTATGAGGATTAAACAAGACAATGCATATAAAGTGTTTTGTATAGTGTTGGCACATAGCACTCAAACAGGTCAGCTCTTACTTTTATGCAACTGGAAAGGAACTATCTCAAGAGGCAACGACCCTGAGGGTGGGCTGCAAAATGTAGTCTTGCTTTAGCGGTAGGGCTAAGGATGTTTCACTGAAATGCAGTAAGAAAAATAAAAAAAGAGAGCTCTGGAAGGCCTCCAGATAGTTATGCTATTTTAAACTCTACTTAACTGTGTTTTAATCAGCAAGTTTTATCAATAAAATGCACCATCTTATCTAAAGGTGTTTATTAATGTACATTTTGGGAAGACTTTTTTAAAGTGTTCATTTATACAGGCTAAACAATCACAGTTTTAGAACTGTGTAACAGAACTCTTTAGACTGGGAATATATATTTAAAAAAGCACTACTTAGATTGCTATGAACAGGCGAAAAGGGTAACATTCATATCCAGTTATGGTCCTCACAGAGTTTAAATTTATTTTCTAAAGAAAAGACATAATATCTTAATAAATCACCATGAAAGCAAATATGTCTTCTACTTATGTTAAATGTAGTTTGATGCTTTTAAAGTTTGACTTTTAGAATTTCCACAGTCAAGTCATTACTTTATGATGTAATTGTTTCAACAGCTGTTTTCAGGTCTAAAAAAAAAATGACTATTTCTTGATTCCATGGGTTTGCAGTATGTCATTTAACCTGGCACGCATTTAATCTGGGGATGCCACACAGTGAGACTATGCATTTGAAGCTTCCTGAGACATAATTTCATATACTGTTTAGACATTTGTAATTCTAATTTTTTGCTTTAAAAATACCTAAAATGCGAAAAAAATTTATGTTTTTTGATGTTGGATTTATAAAACTAAGTAAAAGAAAAACCATAATTTATTCTAAGTAATATAGATATAGGATGTTTAATGTCTATTTAAGATGTTGCTTATGTATTATAGATACATTTTTAAATATATATATAACACAGTTTTCCAAAAGCTTTTTGAGTTTAGATAATCCATTTCATCAACAGGTATTAGATTCTGACTCTAATCCTCAAACATTTGGTAACCCATTATTATATCTCTGTTATTTTCAGACTTAGAAGAATCCAAACAAAGCACTGTCTCCTAAAACAACATGAGACAATCAGACAAAAGAAGGAAAAGTTTCCCTAGTACTTCTATAGAGGAGTTACAGCACATCAAACTCCTCATTTTACTAGGTAACTACACATGGCACAAGCCATATATATGTATTTATGGTGTTTTTCTATAAGATGAATACCTAGTGGAATGACTTTTAATTGCCCAGATTTAGGTTTTCCTACATGCATATAAAGATTGATTTCTTATAAACTGTGCATTTAAAAATAAATTTAAGGCCGGGCGCGATGGTTCACGCCTGTAATCCTAGCTCTCTGGGAGGCCAAGGCGGGCGGATTGCTCGAGGTCAGGAGTTCAAAACTAGCCTGAACAAGAGCGAGACCCCGTCTCTACTATAAATAGAAAGAAATTAATTGGCCAATTAATATATATAGAAAAAAAAAATTAGCCGGGCATGGTGGCGCATGCCTGTAGTCCCAGCTACTCGGGAGGCTGAGGCAGCAGGATTGCTTGAGCCCAGGAGTTTGAGGTTGCTGTGAGCTAGGCTGACACCATGGCACTCACTCTAGCCTGGGCAACAAAGCGAGACTCTGTCTCAAAAAATAAAAAATAAAAATAAATTTAAAAGTAAAAAAATGTATTAATATTATCTTTAATCCAAGTACATGAAGGATCTGAACCCAGGATCAATGGACAGGTGACTGGTGATCTGTGAATGCCCTGAAGCTTTATGCAAATTATCTTCATAGAAGTAGAGAATTTGGGAGGAAGATAGTAATCATGACTATCAGTGTCATGTTTTTTGTCTTTTTTTTTTTTTTTGAGACAGAGTCTCACTTTGTTGCCCAGGCTAGAGTGAGTGCCGTGGCATCAGCCTAGCTCACAGCAACCTCAAACTCTTGGGCTCAAGCAATCCTCCTGCCTCAGCCTCCCGAGTAGCTGGGACTACAGGCATGTGCCACCATGCCCGGCTAATTTTTTCTATATATATTAGTTGGCCAATTAATTTCTTTTCTATTTATAGTAGAGATGGAGTCTCGCTCTTGCTCAGGCTGGTTTTGAACTCCTGACCTCGAGCACTCCGCCCGCCTCGACCTCCCAGAGTGCTAGGATTACAGGCGTGAGCCACTGCGCCCGGCCTGCTATCAGTGTCTTAAAGTGATCTGTGGTTCCCAAATATTTAAGAATCATTGATTTAAAGGATACCCCAGCCCCAAGTGCAAGTGAATCACACTCTGAGTGTTTTGCCAGCAATAGTGGTGAAATACCAGGAGTTCCTCTCGTGTGAATTGTAGACGCAGAAGGCAACTTGACTGTGTCATTGTTTATGTGTCTGTCACTTCCATTGGACAATGTATTCCTTAAGAGGATAGACAGAACTTACAGTCTTTGTGTTCCAAGTGAGCACTAAAACAGGTACACAATAAATCTCTGTGACCTTATCAACTTGTATTATTGTTATTAGCTTGTGCTCTGTTGTTTCTGTTAAACATGTGCTCCACTAGGACAACTGTGTCTTATTTATCTCTGCATTCTACAAAACTGCAGCATGACGTGGGCCTTAAAATGATTGCTGAACCAAATTGATTTGTTTCTACCTAGACAGTCTGTAGTTCCTCTTGGCTAACAGCATGCTTAGATTCACACTGACCAGATCTGTTCTTTAAAATCAGCCCTAAATTCCAGCAATGCAGTTGCTTCCCAGCAGTCTGTGAAAATGTTAAGAGTATTTCAGCTGTGTTTTAGTGAGTTCTTGAAGCATTTTCCTGTCCACCCCGGGCTCATCCACTCTTGCTTCAACTTCTTGTGTAAGCAGCTGCTAAACTAGCCTGCTGCATTCAATTCTCCTCACATACTTAACTCAGTCCTGCAGATTTTGCAACATCACAGCTTCAGAACAAATACTGCAAGTCTTGATGAAGAAGATGCCTGGCCATTTGATGTTAAGTATAGTACCTAATATTCTATTTACCTCTGCTTTCCAGAAGTAGTCACTATTAAACATTTGTTTCCTTACTTTAATGTTTAAAAAGGAGTATTTAAAATGTTACAATAGTTTCATCCCAAAAGATGTTTAAGAGATATGTATCCTATTACTTTTTTTGGTTTTTCAAATGAGTTGACAAATGCTTATTTTAAAATTTACAACTTAAGGTAAAAATAAAGCAGTTCCTATAGGAAGAATAAATGTACCAGCACCTGTAAAAACAACTCCAATTCTTTTTCCTCTAAAAAGCAATAGTTAATGTGAAAGATTTGTTTCTTCTTATGCCAGGTTCCAGCTGCTTCACTTTGTTTAAAACTGACTTCAAAGTTTAAACACTGTCCTGTCCCAACAAATAACCTCCCCCAGATGGAATTATCTCAAGTACTATCCTCAGTGCTCTGAATACCACACCTGCAGTCTTTTAATTCAACATTTATAAACTTTCCAAAGGGAAATGATAGATTTTTTTCCCCCGTTCCCTAATTTATGCCTTTTGGAGAGTTGAGTTTACTGCAAGAAGAGAGTTCTATACCTGGGGTGAACTTATAGATGTTTTAGAAGAGTTAAAAACTGGCATTAACATTTCTATTGTGCTGATTATCATGAGAGAAAGAAATCATAAGGAAATGAAAAAAATCTGAACAGCTACACATTCAATAACTTTTAAAGTAAAAATCATACCTGTAAATACAGATGCGAGGTACAGATTGGGCTCAATTTGTGTCCGATCCATATCACCTGGGGAAGCTATGATTTAAAAAAAAATTTTCAGAAGAAAATCAGTTAAACACAGAAATACTCATGATTCATTCCTAGTCAATAAAAATAACACAAACCAAATGTACTCCCACAGTTACTCTCATAAAACCAGGTAAACAGAAGCTTGATCTAGTGCCCTTAATGTAAAGAAGGAAGTTAAACAGCTGAATTTTAATGACTGTTGATAGAAAACTACTTTACCTAATGGATTATCATCTTTATGCACCAAAGTTGAGGGAAAGGGGAAAGCAAAGGATCATGAGAGAATTTGTATTAAACAGAAGAGACTCATGGGCCATTTCTTCCAAGGTTAAAAGTTTTCATAGATTCTCACACCTAAGAATTTAATCATTAACAAAAAGAAGTGTAAAATTTCCCTTCTCCCTAGGCTACCCTGGGGCTTACAGCTTAAGACAATCTATGTGAAACAACCAATAAAGTTGTCAGGGAGCACAGAAGGGCAATACACTATTAAACCAAAGCAAAATTTTAATATTAAAATAAAATAGATTGGGGGGAAATTCTTTTTATGGCCAGAGAATTAGCAAGTAGAGAAAAGTTAAATAATTGAAGAAAGAAATCTGTAGCACATATAGATCTCAAACCAACAAGGTACCTTGGATACCCAGGGCATGGACCCATGTTGATGCTATTAATCTGTGCTCTGAAATATAGTCAATCAATAACCACCAATAAATGTTATTTCAAACAAATTCTCAGGGCAGAGTGATATGAAAAAAATTGTAACATGGTATAATCAGTATTTCTTTCCTAATTTTCTCAAAGATAAAAATCAGTCATCTCTCAAGCTGCTTTTATTTTACAAAAATTTCAGGTGGATTTTATAAGCAGATAAGATATTTAAATGAACAAGAGTATAAGCATTATATATATCATTACACTGAACAATATATTCTCACTGGCAACAAACATTCATGTTAAACTATTGCAGTTATACTGTCGAAACTAATAAAAATTAATGGAATGCAATACAGATTAATGAAGAAAAAATTAAAGCCATAAAATTAGTTTTAGAAGAAAACATAGTTTTATAAACATAACATTGTGGACAAATACAATCACTTGTATATTTGAAATCCACAAATAGACCATAATTAAATAACCAACTTTGATATAGTTTTAAAAAATCTTTAAGTGCATTAGAAGAGCTTGCTATGATCTTAACTACTAAATGCTATCTATGTTCACATCCCCTTTAAGTTTCTGAGAGCTAGGGAAAGAAGGTATTATTGCTTGGTCTCTCTGGCTTACTAGAGATACCTTTCAGATTGTATACAGGACATATAAAACAAAGGTATCAGTACCACCTCAGAGACCCCTTTCATTGAAGAACCATTGGTTTTTAGCAAGAGAGTATTACTGACCTAATTGGCTTGATAAAGGATCTTAAAAGAGTATGTCTGTCACATATGAGAAGTGTACATACATGGGAACTATTACATATTGTTGTTGCTGTTGTTAAAAACATAAGCAAAACTCTCCTCAGCCACAACTTGGGGAGGATCTTGATTTCTGCAATATCTCCTAACAGTAAAAAAAAAAAAAAAAAAAAAGTGCCATCATCTCAATATCAGAGTTGACTATTTCTAACTTATTCAAGTAGGAACTTCATAATTCTCACTTGTTGAATGAGGTTTACAGGAAGGGTGAGTATTGTGCTCTGTAGTTTAGGATTAAAGTCTGAAAATTGCTTATCAAGTTTGTAGATTCTTACAGTTCCTCATCCTGCTACTCAAAATTGAAGAAACATACTTACTGACATTTAAGTCAAAGGATGAGGAGAAAATTTCTAATGATTTGATTTATAAATTTCTATGGAAATTTTAAGTGGGTAATATTGACTAGAAATTGAGTCATAAATTATCAATGAATATAATTTATCTTTTTACCTTTACCAAAAAGAGCAGATTTGTTAGCTTTTATTTAAATGTTTAAAGATATCAGTGATCTTGGCTTTGGAAATAAGACTCCTAGGCTGGGAAAGTAGGGATACTACTGAAAAGGTATAAATGAAGACAAAGGGGGCTACTGGGATTGAAATACTTGTATGTACTGTGCTGCTTCCAAACACCTTACCTCAATATTTTAGCCTTTTATTTTAAATAATCATTCCAAATCTTGTGGCTAGATGGTGCCAATTGAAAGTAAGCCATGTTATAGTGAGTGCACAAGCTTTTCAAATGCTGTATTTAAAAGGATAGGAATCTGGGCTTTATAATAATTGCACTCTTATATTTAAAAAATTTTTATTTTTGACTTGAAAGTTTATTTCTGGCTCTTTAATGCTATCTTCAGTAAGAATCATTGGTCTAGCAATATTTAAATCTATAAATATTTTTAAGATTATTTTAAATAAATTCTTTATAAATTATCTAAGAATGGTATATAGTACTTTAGGGCTATTAACTGTAAAACAAGGCTACAAAGATGAGGATCCCAAAACACAAATTGTTTAACCCACATAACAAAACATAAATTTTTAAATGGATGATACCCAGAATTTAAAACAAAATCTAATAAGGAGACATCTAAAATTAGTAACATTCAGGATGGCTGCATTTTAATACTAAAGTGAGTCCACTGGAAAAAAAAAAAACAACAGGAATATTATTAGGGGACTTGAAAATATATAGAAAAACATTAGCACATTTTAAACAAATAATCTGGCCAGATCTTCCAAATTAAGTTACTCATTGGTTACAGATCTAATAGGTATATGAACTCTTTCAAATAATAGCATTTTCAGAAATAGCATCTTGGCAGCATAACAGTATGTATCCAATTGTCAAGAAATTATTAGGGAAATGCTGATTCAGCTATCCTGCATGCAGATGACAATTTATTTGAATAATGTAAATTTAATTATTAAAGCTCATTAAAAGGCATTCAAGTACTTCAATGTAGTGCTATGTGGTGTTATGACAGAGAGTGTGCCTGCCTTTTAGGGGCAAGAATGTCTAGAAAGACATTCCAGCATTAAAATTTGGTTGAGAACTGAGCAACTCTACATTTTAATGGACAACTTTATCTGCAACACACTTCCTGTTGGTTGAACAGCCTGTGAAACAGCTACTAAAACAATTTTCTCTCTGATAATTCTTTATAAAAGCATAACATAATGGTTTAAAAGCGCAAAGAATCTTAAAAATTACAATAGGTTTGCCTCGAGGAAGAAGCCATATATGCCATATGAATGACTTAAGTTATGTGAAGTACAAATCAAGAAAACTCATCTAGGTTGTAAGAAGCCAGAATAGTGGTTTTATGCTTGTGGGGTTAAACTGTGGCTGAAAAGGAATGTGAGGGTCTTTGGAGGTGTTGCCAGCGTTCTCTTTCTTGAGCTGGGTACTGGTTGCACAAGTGTGCTCCATTTATAAAAATTCTCTGAGGCCGGGCACGGTGGCTCACACCAGTAATCCTAAAACTCTGGGAGGCTGAGATGAGAGGATCGCTCAAGGTCAGGAGTTTGAAACCAGCCTGAGCAAGAGTGAGACCTGTCTCTACTAAAAATAGTAAGAAATTAGCTGGACAACTAAAAATATACATACAAAAAATTAGCCATGCATGGTGGCACATGCCTGAAGTCCCAGCTATTCCAGAGGCTGAGGCAGTAGGATCACTTGAGCCCAGGAGTTACTGTGAGCTGGGCTGACACCACAGCACTCTAGCCCGGGAAACAGAGTAAGACTGTGTCTCAAAAAACAAACAAAAATTCTTTGAACTGTATAATTATGATATGTATACTTTTCTGTATGTATATCATTCTTCCAGCAAAAGTTAAAATTGAAAAAATCCGATAGGTTAGTTTCAGCAATTAAAAGGTAACAGTTTTATAGTTTTAAGCTTTTTTTCCAATGATGAAATAGCCTTACTAAGCTTAGTAGGTAGCTTTTAGCATCAAGTGAATAGTTATTGCTAAGCCATAGGCCATACTGATGACTACACAGATAAATTCCCTTTTATATTATTTTTCTTTTCTTTTTTTTTTTGAGACAGAATCTTACTCTGTTGCCCTGTGTAAAGCGCAGTGGCAACATCACAGCCCACTGTTACCTCAAACTACTGGTCTCAAGCGACCCTCCTGCCTCAGTGTCCCAAGTACCTGGGACTACAGGTGCGCACCACGATACCTGGCTAATTTTTCTATGTTTAGTAGAGATGGGGTCTCACTCTTGCTCAGGCTGGTCCCGAACTCCTGAGCTCAAGCGATCCTCCTGCCTTAGCCTTCCAGAGTGCTAGGATTACAGGCGTGGACCACTGCACCCAGTCCCCTTCTATATTATTTTTCTTAAAACCTTGAATACCAGTGAGCTAAAATTATTAAGAAGTAGAAGGTAAGTTTTTGTTGTTTCGAACTCCTGACCTTGAGAAATCCACCCACCTCAGCCTCCCAGAGTGTTAGGATTACAGGCATGAGCCACCACGCCCGGCCAAGTTTCTTTTTTGTTGTTGTTGTTTAACTCTCACAAGGCTTACTATCTAAAATACTTTATGACAATTAGCCATTTGATTTAAATGAAAGCACAAACTCTAATCCAATTTTAACTAATCTTGAAAGCATTTCTGAAATCTTAATACCTTATATAAATGCACATTTAATCCTTTTTTTAGTAACAGTTTGCTCTTTCAGTTTATGTCTATGAAGCAATAATATTATAACTACACTTACACTCAACTCTTACTCAACAATAACTCGTATAATTCTAATTCAACCATATTACACTATGCCACAGATTGTTAGAGAAGGTCACTATTATAATAATCTTATAAATGACATTTGATAACTAGCAAAGGTGAAGGCAAAGTAACTCCCTAATATTTACTAAGCACTTTGAAGCTAAGTGCCTTTATAATCTACAGACAGAGAACCTATTTTCTCAGATGGAAATCCATCCTAAATATGAAAACTTTTCTCAAATTATGGCCTGATTATTTTAGTGATTACCACTAAAAATACCTTGTATTAT